TTATATAAACGGAGTGGTAGCTCCTGCAATCTCTCATTTACTTGATACAGCTGTCGTGGCTGTGACGGTTCCACCTGAGGACGGAAGCTTGTGTTGTCTCCGAAACGTCGTGATTTTTATTTTATTTTACTTTTATTAATTGTAATGTTTTACCTACGTGACTTTACCGAAAAACCTAAGAATATTAATCCTTGCAGTCACGAAAGCTTCAAATCTAGAATGTTGTTAATACTCGTAACAATAATTAACTCCCCACGAGGACGGTGCCATCTTATTATAATATTTCCCACGAAAAAACGACAAACAATGTAATACAACTAAAACATAAGTGAACATCTCGTAACTGCAAGAAACCAGACACACCCTCCACTTCACAACACAGCAGCTCAATCTCTCTCTCAATGGGATTGAGCACCAGTGTTAATATTCTAGACCCAATTATTATAAGTATTTTATATATTTAAATCAACTTTAAAATCAAAGACTTAATTGTGCATATCTTCATTACCACCAATAACGTAATCAGTAGTCAATTAACATTACCCAACTCCTATCAGTCGATTAACATTCAAATAATATCAATTTAACGGTTATATATTATTATATTACACCACAGTGCACGTGGGGCTCGGGGTCATATGCCTAGTAATCATTGACTTCTCACAGAATACAACATTTCACCTGGCTCTCCATAGCAATTAGCAGTGCACAATTATGCGTCTGATTAATCAAAGTGGAGCTCACACCAGCTACACATGTATATTCTACACACAGCCTCACACTATAAAGGAGATCAGAGACACGGGCATCGACGAATAAAATGCAGCTAAAAACGACAAGTGCATGCGCAAAAAGGCACACGTTTGGAATTCGACTGAGAGGCAGAGGGGAGAGCATGGGGAAATTGAGAACACACACAAGTTGAGAGACATCATGTTGACTGTTAAAACAATGGCTTAGGCAGGACATAGATGATGGCCTGTGGGAGAGACCAACCATGGAGTGGCAGTGACACGGAAACACTCGAGCTTAAGGAGACATTCATGAAGCAATGGATGGCTGCTGCGAATGATTGAATGAAAGAGGGTTTGGTGTAAAATTGAGTTGTTGTTGTTGCTGCTGAACTAGGTACTACATGGAGAGTGGAACTCACAAAGCCTTCCCTAAAACCCCAATAAATCCGGACGGGCAAGGCCTCTACGGCTTCCACAAGAAGATTGGGCTGAGCGGCTGTCATGGGACCATGACTCTCCGCTTCAGCGGCCACGATCACTGCCTGAAAATCTTCTTCAAAAACACGCCGGGTGCCGGCCCGGAATCATTCTCCGTGTGTGTCGAAAATGACCCCGTGTACGACATCGGCCTGCGCACGCATAATGAGATGATCAGGAACCAAATAAGCCCGAGCAGCACGTTCAGCCAAGCGCCGGCGGGCAACGAGGTGTCGGTGACGAATGAGGAGCTCATGGTGCGTTCGAGGGCATCAATGAGCGAACAGAAGAGGGCAGTTATCTTCTTAACGGCGGAGTCGATGATGCCCAAGGTAAGATGAGGATGACGTGATACGGGGTGGGGGGAGGGTAAGGGGGGTCCCAATATAGGTCGGGGGCTAGGGACCGGAAAGTTGCGATTTATATTGAAAGGATGTATTATGGAATACTACATGTTAATGAACCACAGACCTATTTTGTTCAGCTGAGCAATCTTCTACGACAATAGAGGATTTTGTTTGGGTTAGATCGCGTAAATATATAAATGTGTCGTTAAACACGCCACCAACCTACACAGCCAAATAGTAAGGGTTATCACGTAAACAAAACATGGCAATTCGTCACTTACTAGCAAGTTGTTTGGAAAAACAAAACATCCAAGTCAGATTTGGCACGGTACATAAAATACCGAAATTAATATCTGGTACAAAAGGTGTATTACTGAAGCTATCAACAGAAGGTGAGTACCGGATTCATTGCACCTGTCGCAAATGCTATTTTAGATAAACAGGACGAATGATCAGCACGAGACTAAAAGAACACCAAAGAAATATTAAATATTCTTAGGTTTTTTCGGTAAAATCACAAACCTAAAAAAACCCTAAGAATATGAATTCTTGCAGTCACGAAAGCTTCAAATCTAAATATTAAATACTCCCAAATATAAATGTCAGCAGGGGCAGGACACGCGTGCCAACAAGGACACTCAATTGATTTTGATGATATTGAAATTCTTTGCAAAACTAGTTACTACTGGCCAAGACTATTTAGAGAATCTATCGAAATTGAAAGAAACAAAAATAATTTGAACCGTTCGGATAGCTACCGACTTAGTGCTGCGTGGAAGCGAATAATCAAATAATATGTTGTTTAAATGCAGGCCTATACAAGCCACCATGCTTCAATAGGGATACCGTTGGTACGGCTATTTTAGTACACATAATGGACAGGAAGGACAAGATCAATGGGCTCGCATAATGCGCATGCATCATGTAAGAATAGTGCAGAAGTGTAGTCACCACATCTACGCGTCTATATAAGGAACGAAACAGGTGAAATTCTCTACAAATCTGGCTGTCCCCTGATGAAGCTAGTTGTAACTACTGGCGAAACTTCGTACTCAGATTGTAAATGTTGTGGCTTGGCTCTCCAACACTGGTGTGCTCTACTGGTGACGAATTGGCATGCTCTGTTTACGTGACAACCCTTACTAGTTGGCTGTGTCGGATGGTAGTGGGTTTAACGACACATTTATATATTTATGCAATCTAACCCAAAAAAACTCTGTTATGGATGATATTGGTCGCGAAAGCCTACGTGTTAATTCCTCTGCGAGATTTGATGAGTCAGCCTCGCGCTGGTAGTGAGTTTGTGTGTGTGTGTGTGTGGGGGGGCATTTTAAACAGTACATTGTCGTGTTCTGACTTACGAAGCAGTCCGACTTATGAACGGGTCCCAGGAACGAATTGTGTTCGTAAGTCCAGAACTGTCCCGTGCAAATACACCGGCCGAAGCCCCAAGGGAGGAGTCACCGACGCTGACAATGCGAGGCCGGTCCGGGAGGAGAAATGAGCAAAGCAGCCAGGGGATAGGCCAGCAGGGAATTCAAAAGGAAAATTGCAGGAAAGGGAGGACGGGTAAGAGAGACGGTTAGAGGTGGTGGAGGGAGAGCGGTGAAGAGGGGATTGGTGAGAGAAGTTAGAGTAGAACTAGGGGCTGCCGGATTTTCAAAAACGCGGGATAATATAATCACTAACGCATACCATGGTGTGTATATTTTTTAGTGCTTAACATTTGTTTACAAATAGACAACAATTAATATCCCTACTGTAAAAGGTTACGGTTTTTACTGTACCGTACTTACCACTCCAATCTCGAAGACTCTGCATGGGGTGATGTACGTAGTACGACTACGCTCTTGTTTCAACAACAACATGTGTTTGACAATCGCCCAATTTCACACACTTTTCGTCGGATCGCACTGTGTGTATTTTCTGTTTTTATTACTGTAGTTATTAGTCGTGAAGAATGTATATAGTGCAGTATTTTCATTGTTTAAGTTTTTTGTATTTAGGTGTATAGTGTACCGTATGTAATATTTGACACTGAAATCAAGCATAGCTACTTTTTTGTCATGCACATGGTGCCAATTGCTGGATTTATACATCCTTTGGAGCGGTTTTGCCGGATCAGTACAGGACCGCCGGATAATGTTGGAAGCCAGATAACTACGCGCCGGATAATCGATGATTAGCTGTATAGTTAACGTGATGGGGGGCCTACTGGTTACATGGCTGGCAGGTTTTTCCAGCAGGTGGGCAACCGCAAAATATGACAAAAATCCTGCTCTTGGCATCTCCAGGAACTCGGTAACGCAAATGCCGAAGGGGCTTTGTCGTGATGCTGTTGCAGAGGTCGCAACCGGGTACCCGATACCCGTACCCTACCCGACTACCCGTACCCGGCCGGGTACGGGTACCCGTTTGCGACCCTGGTGCGGCCGGTTACGGGTATGGGTAAGGAATCAAAACCCGTTTGCGACCTCTGTGCTGTAGATCCCTGTGCAAGATGGGGGAGGGCCGATACAGGAAATAATAAACTATCTAAAGTTCTAAAGGTTTCATTTTACCAGGTAAGGCGCCACTGAGCTGCGTAGCTCTTTTTCAGAAGCAACCTGGCTATCACAAACTATAGCTAAACGAAGTGGCTTATCATCACCACGTGGGAATTTATAGCAGCTAAATAATCTTAATACGTATGTTAATTCTACTGGTAGGAACCACCTGGTTCCACCAGCCCACAGGGGATTATTGTGTCCGTCCGTCCGTCCGTCGTGGCCGACTGTGAGGGCGGGCACAAGCCGGCGTGAAGACGTTAAACGTTGAGTTTTAGAAGGACACCACGGGGTGACCAGCCCCTCCCCGCCCAGCCCCACCCCTCCCACCCAGCCCCACCCCTCCCACCCAGCCCCACCCTCCCCACCCAGCCCCTCCCCACCCTCCCCACGCAGCCCCTCCTCACCCTCCCCACCCAGCCCCTCCCCACCCTCCCCTCTCCACCCAGCCCCAACCCTCCCATTTTTGGATGCACGACGGACGGACGGACACAATAATCCCCTGTGGGCTGGTGTAACCAGGAGGTTCCTACCAGTATGAATATTTTATTCTGACACGCCTACCATGCAGCAGAATTGACAGGCGAGTTGTGGTGCAGCATCCACAGCTCCGGGCCACGCTAGCATCTGAAGCTCGACTCGCGGTACACATACAGAACCGTAAACACTGAGAGTAAGCGAGTGTAGTAGAGAGGAGGAGGAAGAGGAAAAGGAGGAGGACAAAGAGGAGGAAAAAGAGGAGGAAAAAGAGGGGGAGGAAAAAAAAGGGGAAAGAGGGAAAAGAGGAAAAACAATCAAAATCCTTCCTCATTGGCTAGTAAAGTTGGTCGCGAGTTCGGCGGATGAGGAGGAGTCGGATTTAAAGGGAGCATCCAAGGAGGAGGTCTCCACTCACCCCCGGGCCACACGGCGTTCAACCTCTCTCCGCGCCGAGCACCACCGGGTTCACTGCAGCCCCAGGAGTCTCGCTCACGGCGGTGAGTCGATCACCTAAACGACTATTAACCATTATTTTATTTTTTACCAGGTAATGCCCCACGGCTTGAGCTATGCAGTAGCTCTATTTTTTTTGCAGAAGCGACCTGGCTATCACAAATCATAGCTCAACGGAAGTGGCAGCTGATATCATCATCATCATGTGTGAGAAATGTATAGTGGCAGCCAAATACGTCCAATTGTATCATTATCAATTGTATCGTCCAATTGTATCATCATCAATTGTATCATCATCATGTGTGATAAATGTATAGTGGCAGCCAAATACGCTCGACACGCCCGTGATATTTGATTCAAAAATGTGGGAGGGAAAAAAATACCTGGAGGAGATTCAGATACACATTCTACGCGACCACAGGGAGAGAGACGCGCACTCCAAATGCACAGCAGGCGTCAGGGTCAGGCTCGAACCTACGAATTCCTGCATACTAGGCGAGATAGTTAAGAACTAGGCGAGATAGTTAAGATCTAGCCACTGCGGCGTCAGGGTCGGGCTTGAACCCACGAACTCCTGTATGCTAGGCAAGGTAGTTATTGTCTCCTAGCTACCGTGGTGTCAGGTTGGGATTGAACCCATGTCCTCCTGCATACCAGGCGAGGTAGTTAACATCTCTTTCTACTGCTGCATATGAAAGCCTCCCCCACATCGTGTGGGCCACGAGCGTTGTCATCCATACTACGTTTTTGGGTTAGATCACGTAAATATAAATGTGTCGTTAAACCCGCCCCCACCCAACACGGTCACTTAGTATGGTTTGTTAAGTAAAAACATGCCAAGTCGTAAGCCTAATTGTTACCATTTACAATTGGGTTTACTCTCCAACACATCAGTGTACTGTGCTAGGAACGAATTGCCACGTTTTGTATCCGTGACAAACCCGGACGAATTGGCTGTGTCAGGTATTGGCGGGTTTAACAATACATTTATAATAATTGTTTTTTTTACCCTTCTATCTGAAAACAAAACTGACACCTTTTTACAAGGAGTCATGTTTGCATAGACCGCAATACCTGCAGTCATAATACAAACAAAAGACATAACTCTGATAATGTGCATTGTCCTTGAAGTTGATTGGTCCACACCCGAGACAGCTTTCCTTAGAGAGACTAGGCGGTCTATGCAAACATGACTCCTTGTAAAAAGGTGTCAGTTTTGTTGCTAGATAGAAGGGTAAAAAACCAATTATCATATTTTTACTGGCAAATGAAGTTCCCATAGAATACATTTATATTTAGGCGATCTCACGAAGGTTGTTGTTTGACTACTCAACTTTGTTCTCCTATAACGCGGTGGTGGTCGTTGCTTTCCTGCAGAACAACGCGTTATGGAAAAACCGCGTTATAATAATTATACATATATAGTTTTGTTGATCTGTGCCTAACGCCTGACACTGTACGCTGTGTGTAACACTGGCTTGGCTTCGTGGATTTTCATGCAATTACAATTTTTTTTATGAAAGGTTTATTATGAAAATTGTAATTTATTAGTAGTTTAGATTCGAAGCTTTCGTGATTGCAGGAATTACTCTTTGGTTCTTTCGGTGAAGTCACGTAGAAATAAATTAAATAATAATAGAATACGACGTTTCGATTGTAACACAAGCAACCATCATCAGGTACGAATGATTGAGAAAACAAACCTCTCTCTCTGTTTGTCTCTGTGTGAGTCTCTCTCTGCTTGTGTGTCTATGTGTCTCCGTGTCTGTTTTGTCTCTCTCTCAAATGTATCAATCTTTGGAAGAACGTAATCAACCAGGTAGTGTGTTGACTGTTATGTTAGCCGCCTCTATATAGTATGGATTCTTGCAGTCACGAAAGCTTCAAATCAAGATTATTTACTAGGTTTGTTTTCTCATTCATTCGTACCTGACGACGATTGCTTGTGTTGCAATCGAAACGTCGTATTATATTATTATTTAATTTAATTTCTTTCTACGTGACTTTACCGAAAGAACCAAAGAGTAATTATTAGTTTGTTATTACAAGAATAATCACTTTTCTCCAAAAATACACCAGGACCGCTTTTGATAAACGCCAAGTGCGCCCCTGATTTTGTATTTTATCTTTTCGTTTTGCACACCATTACATAATAATAATAAATACTCTATTCAGTTCATTTGTGTGTGACAATCATTTTTTTTTACATCGAATAGAAATTGAAATAAAGAAGCAGAATCACTTTTAATTTGAACTCAGTGAAGTTTCACTTTGATGACTTGTGTCCATGGGGCTCCGTGTGAGCCCGTGGGTCTGTGGGTATCGGTGTGAGCCTGTGGGTCAAGGTGTGAGACCGCAAATGACTATGTAAGATAGATCAATCAGTTTCAAGGTTAATGCATATATTATCAGAGTATGTTTTTTTGTTTGCATTCTGACCACAAGTATTGTGGTTAATGCAGACATAGATCCTCATAAAAAGGTTACAGTTTGGTGTTTTTACAACTTAACACCTGGTTTTGTTGCCAGAAAAAATGGGAAAAACTTATTGCCAAGATAGATCTCCTTAAGAGACTGTCTATTTGGCGATAACTCATGGGGTCGGTAACCCGCGTTTCTGGAGCCGCGTGCGGCTCATTAAGGATTGCTTCGTGATGTTATGTATGAAAGACCACCGTCTTCGTATTGACATGCATAGCGGCTCTTGAAATATTGAGGTGTTTTTTTTTCCAAATAAAAAAAATGGCTCTTATCATTTTGGTTTTCGAGCCCCTTACAGACCTCAATGTAAGTACATTCGTAACAAGCTTCATCCCCTTTTGTTGATCAAATGCTGGATGAAAGCGTACTTAGCGTGCCATGGTGGCTAGGAGATGTTAACTACCTTGCCTGGTATACAGGAGGTCGTCGCTTCGATGCCCGGACCCTAAGGCCTTCAATATATTTGGAGTTTGCGTCTCTCTGCCCACCGTGGTTGTGTGAATTTTTCTCCGGTTTTTTACCTCCACATTTAGAGTCAACATCACGGCGTTTAGAATATTTTGCTGCTTTAAATTTCCACGTGATAAGCCACTTCGTTGAGATATCATTTGTGAGGAGCAGGTCACTGAAAAAAATATCTATATAGCAGCCATAATAGAGGTGTTTTGGGTTAGATCGTGTAAATATATAAATGTGTCGTTAAACCCGCCACCACCCGACACAGCCAATTAGTAAGGGTTGTCACCTAAACAGAACATGCCAATTCGTCACTAGTACAGCACACCAGTGTGTTGGAGAGCCAAGCCACAACATTTACAATCTGAGTACGACTTTTCGCCAGTAATTACAACTAGCTTCATCAGTCAATAGCCAGATTTGTGGAGAAGTCCACCTGTTTAGTTCCTTTTATAGAGGCGTAGATGTGGTGGGGGGAGATTAATGAGTCAACGTACATTATGCATGCGCATTATGCGAGCCCATTGATCTTGTCCTTCCTGTCCATTATGTGTATTAAAATAGCCGTACCAACGGTAATCCCTATTGAAGTATGGTGGCCTGTATAGGCCTGCATTGAAACGACGTATTATTTGATGATTTGCTTCCACGCAGCGCTAAGTCGGTAGCTATCCGAACGGTTCAAATTATTTTTTATTTCTTTCAATTTCGATAGACTCTCTAAATAGTCATGGCAAGTAGTAGCTAGTTTTGCATAGAACTTCAACATTATTAAAATCAATTGAGTGTCCTTGTTGGCACGCGTGTTCTTCTCCTGCTGACAGCTGTATTTGGGAGTATTTAATATGTATTTGATGTTCTTTTAGTCTCGTGCTGACCAATCGTCCTGTTTGCTCAATTTTCCACAAGTGCAGTTAATGCTGTACACACCTTCTGTTGATAGCTTCAGTAATACAGCTTTTGTACCAGATATTAATTTCTGTATTTTATGTACCGTGCCAAATCTGACTCAGATTTTAGTTTTTACAAACATCTGGCTAGTTTATCAGTTACTCCCACAATTTACGATATTTTGATCATTCTGATCGTATACAGGCTACCATACTTCTGTAATAAAGCTCGTTGAGGCGACTTCTGGAATCCGTCTTTTATTCAACTTGTATTACAGCTTTCCTTCACGCTGCTGACAGGCAGCGTGAGAGGGACAGATAGAGAGAGAGACACACTGCCACGTAGCCCCCTTCCTCTGTTCGTTCCCGTTCTGACCACGTGTCGTTTGTCTGCACCCCTATTTAATACCCGGGTCACGTGGTACGTTTCTGCCAATCCTCGTTAGCCTCCATGGAATATTCCAGGCTCCCTCGTAAGCTCCCGGGACCACGCCCCTGACTCATCTCCCCATTGGCTGTGGCCAAAGCTAGCAGAACCAATCCTTACAGCTGTCACCTTTCCATTACGTCAGGGCCATACCCCTCGGCTTCCCCCCATTGGCTGTAAACCAGGACCGGCAGAGCCAATCATCATGACGAGTTGTGATACGTCAGTGAGCCGGATATATCCTCACATTACACTTCAATAGGGATTACCGTTGATACGGCTATTTTAATACACACAATGGACAGGAAGGACAAGTTAAAGGGGCTCGCACAATGTGCATGTATCATGTACATTGACTCATTTATTGCCCCCACCCCCACCCCCACGTGGTGCAAGAGCGCAGAAGCGTGGTCACCACATCTACGCCTCTAATTAAGGAATAAAACAGGTGGACTGCTCCACAAATCTGGCGGCCGCCTGATGAAGCCAGTTGTAATTACTGGTGAAACGTTGTACTCAGATTGTAAATGTAGTGGCTTGGCTCTCCAACACACCAGTGTGCTGTACTAGTGATTAATTGGCATGTTCCTTTTACGTGACAACCCTTACTAGTTGGCATTGCAGGGTGGTGGCGGGTTTAACGACACATTTATATATTTATGCGATCTAACCCAAAAAACTTCTATTATGGATGGTATTGGTCGCGAAAGCCTATGTAACGCATTCCCGCGGAGGGAGCTGGTAGGAACGTTTGGTTGCTTGGTCAATGGCCAGGGTCAACGGCGGCGTGGTGTATTCCGCAAATATGCCCGACTGAGGGCGGGCACAAGCCGACGTGAGTAGGTTAAACGTTGAGTTTTATAAGGGCACCACGGGGTGACCAGCCCCTCCCCACCCAGCCCCACCCCTCCGACCCCCCACCCAGCCCCACCCTCCCGACTAAGCCCCTCCCCACCCTCCCCACCCAGCCCCTCTCCCCGTTCGCCCCACCTCAGGTCGAAGAAGAAGAGACACAGGGGCATAGCCACGTCCAGATGGCGCACGCAAGGCCGGGGACCGAATTGGTGGTGTACAAAGGCAAGACTGTGGAAGCCATCCTGGCTGGAATGAGCACAAACATCAAAGTGGCCATCGAGATCAGCAACAAGTCGAAATACACCCTGCACAAACAATCGTGAGCATAACCCTATCGCTCGGACACTACTTACGTGCACTGCTTTGTGTGTTTTAGTTTGTCGTCCTTCCCCCCACACCTCTGATTACCCCGGTTGATTACGTATGGTGTGGAAAATGTTCAACGTGCATACAACTAGCTCACACATACTCACGTAAATATAATAAAGTTTTGTTTTCCAGGTAAGAACAGGCATCACAGCAATATTTTCCTCTCAACATAGCGTCCCCGTCCCATATAATAATTCTGCACCCAGCCTTGTATGCATGTATGTTGAACCTATTTCTCACTGTGCTAATCGGAGGTGTGGGGGAAAGACAAACTATGGGTATCTATGCAAGTCTATGGGTCTCTGTGTGAGGCTTGGTAGAACTTTTGTCACACCGTTTGTAGCCAACCGTAGGTACTGGCTAACAGCGGTTGTTAGCCGGTAGGGGTGGCTTGGAAGGTCATAGTGGTGAGCTGCCACCGCTGAGGTTCTGGATTCAAATCCAATGTTCAGCCGCCTTTGATTAAAGTGGGCTTGCCCTTTGTAGTGAACCGATGCGTCCAGCCTAGTGACTAATGACTGCACGCAGCAACAACAACAAAACAATACATTTAATTCCGGTCTGAACTTCATTTGCCGAAATTCCAGCTCCTATAATTACATTTGCTGGTGTGGCTGTAACGTGACAACGGCATTTTTCTGTGGCAGGACGGGTGAGAAAGTACTACCCCACAACATTGTAGACCAGTTGGTCACGTGAAGGATCCGAGGTAGTGCTGTGATATTCGCTTCTTTAGGCACATTCAAACAAACAAACAAACACACACACTTCTGTGCGGCATCCCTCAATGACCTGTGCCTGGTTCATGCATCGTGCTAACTGCCACGCCCACCCACTCTATGTGGTCGCCACGGTGGATAGGAGATGCTAACTACCTCGTCTAGTATGGAGGAGTTCGTGGGTTCAATCCCGACGCTTGTATATTTTGAGTTTGCATGTCTTTCTCTCTCCGTTTTCACGTAGATTTTTCTCCAGATCCTCTGGGTTTTCCCTCCACATTGACCATCAACATGCGTTTAGAGTGATTGGCTGCTATACATGTAGGTCAGGGCCTTACCTGGTAAAGTAAAAACAAGTTAAGTTTCGTTGCTGCGTCACTGCTGCCTCCTTGACGCCGCATAAGCTGTCGTGCATTGCTGGAGAGGGACTCTTTCCTGGGCTCCCTTCCTCCTCCCTCTCGAGCTATGTTAACAGCCCGCTCTATAATACTTCTCTACACAACAGCTGGTGCTACACCTGGACCTGCTCGGGAACTTTCTGGGCCCTTAAATTCGTCACCACCTGCTGTGAATCTGCTCCCCCCACCTCATTTAACTCACCAACACAATGCACATCCATTTCACTCATAACACTCTCCCCCCCTACCTCCTGCTCACATACTTTAGATGTTTCCTGGATGCTGGTGTGGAGGACTACTCCCCACACTCAGAAATCATCTCCGGTGAGAAGCGAGCCTGTGGCTTCCGTAAGCTCAACATGTCACTGAAGGGCTGTTACGGGGTCCTGCGCTACTGCATCAAGGACAACAGCAAGTGCCTGGACATCATGTTCAGCAACCCCTACTCGAGCGGCGTCTTCAGCCGAGAGGTGGCCATACAGCTGCAGGACCTCGCCAACGTGGCCGCACCATCCGCCAGGCTCCTGACCGAGATGTACAACTCGAAGGTGACGGAGGATACGTTCGACAAGAAAGGAGCGGGGGACTCCAACGCCGTGGTGGAGGACAAAAAGGAATTGAACATTAAGGTGACGGCCAACATGCAGGACAGCGCGGAGTCCATCGTCCGTATAGAGCTGACGGATATTCCTCACGCAAAGCAGATCATTGTAAAGAGCTCTCCAGCCATGAGCGAGTAGGGTTGCGCTTTAAAATCACCATCATCAGATTGACAAAGGCATTTTTCTTTATAACCTCGGATTAGCACGGTTGGCTATGTATGGTGGGAAAGATTTTCAACATATATATACTGTGAGGGGAAAAAGTATTTGATCCCCTGCTGATTTTGTACGTTTGCCCACTGACAAAAGAATTATCAGTCTATAATTTTAATGGTAGGTTTATTTGAACAGTGAGAGACAGAATAACAACAACTAAATCCAGAAAAACGCATGTCAAAAATGTTATAAATTGATTTGCATTTTAATGAGGGAAATAAGTATTTGACCCCCTCTCAATCAGAAAGATTTCTGGCTCCCAGGTGTCTTTTATACAGGTAACGAGCTGAGATTCGGAGCACATTCTTAAAGGGAGTGCTCCTAATCTCAGCTTGTTACCTGTATAAAAGACACCTGTTCACAGAATAAATCAATCAATCAGATTCTAAACTCTCCACCATGGCAAGACCAAAGAGCTCTCCAAGGATGCCAGGGACAAGATTGTAGACATACACAAGGTTGGAATGGGCTACAAGACCATCGCCAAGCAGCTTGGTGAGAAGGTGACAACAGTTGGTGCGATTATTTGCAAATGGAAGAAACACAAAAGAACTGTCAATCTCCCTCGGCCTGGGGCTCCATGCAAGATCTCACCTCGTGGCGTTGCAATGATCATGATAACGGTGAGGAATCAGCCCAGAACTACACGGGAGGATCTTGTCAATGATCTCAAGGCAGCTGGGACCATATTCACCAAGAAAACAGTTGGTAACACACTACGCCGTGAAGGACTGAAATCTTGCAGCGCCCGCAAGGTCCCCCTGCTTAAGAAAGCACATATACATGACCGTCTGAAGTTTGCCAATGAACATCTGAATGATTCAGAGGACAACTGGGTGAAAGTGTTGTGGTCAGATGAAACCAAAATGGAGCTCTTTGGCATCAACTCAATTCGCCGTGTTTGGAGGAGGAGGAATGCTGCCTATGACCCCAAGAACACCATCCCCACCGTCAAACATGGAGGTGGAAACATTACGCTTTGGGGTGTTTTTCTGCTAAGGGGACAGGACAACTTCACCGCATCAAAGGGACGATGGACGGAGCCATGTACCGTCAAATCTTGGGTGAGAACCTCCTTCCCTCAGCCAGGCCATTGAAAATGAGTCGTGGATGGGTATTCCAGCATAACAATGACCCAAAACACACGGCCAAGGCAACAAAGGAGTGGCTCAAGAAGAAGCACATTAAGGTCCTGGAGTGGCCTAGCCAGTCTCCAGACCTTAATCCCATAGAAAATCTGTGGAGGGAGCTGAAGGTTCGAGTTGCCAAACGTCAGCCTCGAAACCTTAATGACTTGTAGAAGATCTGCAAAGAGGAGTGGGACAAAATCCCTCCTGAGATATGTGCAAACCTGGTGGCCAACTACAAGAAACGTCTGACCTCTGTGATTGCCAACAAGGGTTTTGCCACCAAGTACTAAGTCATGTTTTGCAGAGGGGTCAAATATTTATTTCCCTCATTAAAATGCAAATCAATTTATAAAATTTTTGACATGCGTTTTTCTGGATTTTGTTGTTGTTATTCTGTCTCTCACTGTTCAAATAAACCTACCATTAAAATTATAGACTGATCATTTCTTTGTCAGTGGGCAAACGTACAAAATCAGCAGGGGATCAAATACTTTTTTCCCTCACTGTAGATTCACACAGAGACACGTAGACTTACACAAGCGACCCATAGACTCACACAAGAGACACATAGACTCACGCAAGAGACACACAGACTCACACAAGAGATCCATAGACTCACGCAAGAGACACATAGACTCACACAAGAGACCCATAGACGCAAACAAGAAACCCATAGACTCACGCAAGAGACCCATAGACTCACGCAAGAGACCCATAGACTCACACAAGAGACACATAGACTCACGCAAGAGACACATAGACTCACACAAGAGACCCATAGACTCATGCAAGAGACACATAGACTCGCACAAGAAACTCATAGACTTACAGAGACCTATAGACTAACACAGAGACCCATAGTTTGTTGCCCTTTCTCCGCACCGATTAGCACGGTAGGCTACATACGATACGAAAGAAGTTCAACATACATACGTACCTAGCGTTGCCACCTTTGAATTGAACACAATGTGGATATAGATTACCCATGGCTTTAAATCTTGTATTTTTTAGTGCTCTGCATTAGGGTTATATTAAAATAGAAATATTACATAAAATGAACGTAATTAAGTGAATTTAATAATACAACGAATATTATAAGAACTTACAGGTGTGGTAGAGTGATATTGTATGGCACATTCCATGATTACAACTGGAACAAGCGAGGAGGTGCAGCACCTGGCCTACCTCAGGCGGTAAATCAAATCTGTACATGTTGAGTGAACCCCAATCCCATCAGAATAGAATTATAGTGCAGGCCGGAACACCACACGCACTACCTCAAGACATGCTGATTCTTATTTAACATAGGCACAGGGGCGCTATAGCCAAATATGTGCACTACATCGCCTTATATGTAGGAGGGCGTGGTTTCGATCCCGACCCTGATGCCTGTGTATTTGCAGTTTGCATGTCTCTCTTTCCCTGTGTTTGCGTGGATTTTTCTCTAGATCATCCGTTTTTTCCCTCTATTTAGAATCAACATCACGCTTTTCGAGTATTTGGCTGTTATAAGTTTCCACATGATAAGCCACTTTTGTGGCCAGGTCGCTACTGAATAAGCTATATAGGTAAGTGGGCCTTATCTGGCAAAATAAACGTTTAGTTAGTTTAGTTTTCACACACACCTCAGATTAGCACGGTTGGCTACGTACGGTGCGAAAAATATTCTACACACAATATTGCGTGTGTTATTTGTCTGACACCGAAGGCAGTTGTGTAAATTCCACATTTCTATGCTGGGGGGAGGATGTTTATCCCTGTATCTTGTGTATTTTTGTATCATCATAATAATCCCATGAATCTAACTTGTTGTCTCATATAAGCTTTGTAACCTGTCGTGATTATAACAATAAACCAAAGAAGACATTTACCGCACCCCATGTCAATGCACTGTTTGACCATGCTGATGGGCCCAGGAACGGTTCGGATATCACTCGCCATTTATAGACATTGGTGGCCTAGAACGAAGTTGCTCGGTTCAAAAATTACACTCCATGAACTATTTTGTATTTACCAGGTAAGGTCCAATGAGACATATAGCTCACAAATGATAGATCAATGAAGTGGCAGCTTATCACGTGGACATTTCTAGCAGCCAAATACTCTAAATTCATGTCGATTCTGAATATGGAGGGAAAATTGGAGTACCCAGAGAAAAAAAGCCACGCGACCATAGGGTGAGAGATCATGCAAACTCCAAATATACAGCAGGCGTCAAGGTCAGGATCGAACCCATGACTTCCTGTATACCCTTCCCTGACCTTCACCTATGATTTGTTCTGATACACGTGTAGTGGCATAGCGCTGACTGTTGTACAGCAGCTGCAGGTGGGCACATAGCGCACACGTCGTTGAGCATATACGCGGGTGTGCCGGCAGGACAGAGGAACTGGGGCAAGGGTCATGGTAGACCTCGTGTGGAAGCCCCTGGAACACTCTAGAGGGTTCGAGAAGAGAGTCGCAGCTAGGGTTGAGTCAAGCCACGACGAGGGGAATAAAAGCAGTGGAGAGTGAGAGCTCTGGGCTGCCGGTTCTGGGAGTGGACTCGTCTCGTCGTCGTCGCCTTCGTCCCTGTTGCCTTCGCCCGATTATTGCGCGGTCGGACAGTAGTTGGTTGTCCCTGTCGATGCCGTCGGTGCAACGCGGACAGGGTCGTGTCTGGGCCGGGTCATGCGGCAGCATGGTCGTGAGAGAGTGGTGGCCCGAGTTGGTGACGTGAACTCAACAACAAAAAATGGGGAGGACGGTGCCTCCTGCGGCTACCTCGTCTCCGACTGAGTGTGTGTGCGACGCACGCCACCCACACACACACAAGCCTAGAGCGAGAAGGAAGAAGAGACCTACGACACTACACACGTGCTAGACTGACATTAAAAAAGATATAAACGTTCTAGCTCATATGGCACTTCTTATTAAGCCATGAAGTCGGGAATCCAGTCTGATCGACAGAGCTTAAGTAAAAGTTTTATCCATAATAAAATACATTTTGGGTTAGATCGTATAAATGTGTCATTACACCGTCCACAGCCAATCGGTAAGAGTTTGTCACATAAAAAAACATGCCAATTAGTTACTAGTTCAGCACTAACTGGTTGTGTGTTGAAGAGTAAACCTGCAACGACATTTACAATTAGAGTACTGTTACATTTCGTTGGTGATTACAACAGCAACAACCAGCATCATCAGGCGATAGCCAGAATTGTGTAAAATTCCTCCTGTTTGAGTTTTAAATAGGAGTAATGGTGTTGTTATGATTGTAGGCCTATGGATCATTTTGCTTGCGAAAACCTACTATGCATATAAAAGTGTTAAAGTCGGCGTACAACAGCAAGATCGCCCTGTAGTTGCACCACTGTCGGATCTGCATTTGCCTTTGTGGATGACTATTATTTTCACTTCCCTCTTTGAGAGAGAAAGTATAGCACATCCTTCTTTACCGACCCTGCCCGGGTCTGACAGAGAGGTTTGACTACACAGTAGATCATCAATTATCCGGCTTCCAACATTATCTGGCAGTCCAGGGCGGATCTTGTGAAACTAGCAAAACCGCTCCAAAGGCTGTACTAGTCTGGCGATTGGCACCACGTACGTGACCAAAAAGTAGTTGTGCTTGATTTCAGTGTCAAATATTACATAGTGTCTTACACCAGGGGTCCCCAACCCTTGGGCCGTGGACCGGTACCGGTCCGTGGCCTGTTAGGAACCAGGCCGCACATCAGGAGGTGAGCGGTGAGTCCGCGCGTGGCCCCCCCATTATTTTATTTACCACTTCCATCCGCGCCTGTTTCCCGCACTGCGCACTTGTCTCAGTCACAGTTTTGGTAAGCCCACAAGCTAACCCCTAGCACAATGAGTAAAAAACAAACGTCGCTGGAGAGCTTCTTTGAAAAGGGGGAAAGACCCAATGATGAACCCCCCCCCCCCCCCGCTGGTCCGTGAAAAACATTGTCTTCCACGAAACCGGTCCCTGGTGCCAAAAAGGTTCGGGACCGCTGTCTTAGACAATACACACATACAACTTAAACACTGCAATGATATCCATTTTTCATGACTAATAACTAATACAAATAGTAAATATAGAGTGTGATCAGCGAAAAGTGCGTGTAATTCCGCGGTCACCGGAGCACTGACTTAAAGGCTGCATCAGTCTGGCGATCGTCAAACACATGTGTAATATGAGGATGCACCTGGGGGGGGGGGGGGGTAACTGGGCGATGTTGATAGGCTCTGCCGGCCTCAGCCCGCAGCCAATGGAACGTCGAGCCAGGGGCGTAGCCCTGTGGCTGCATAGCAACATCTGGAAGGTTTCAGGGGTGAGGCTGATGATTGGCTGCATGGTATCACGTGGGCCACGTGTTATAAGGGGTGGAGGGAGACAGCTCTGGGTCAGTGTGGAGAGGGGCTGAAGAGAGACCACGTCTGTGCCTCCGGCACGCCAGCGGCCACGTGGCAGGCCGGAGGCTGTCTCCCACACGCCGTCAGCCAGCGGTGTGAGGAAGCGAGGAAGCGAGCGAACGCCACGCTCAATTAACGGGAGTAACGGGGAAAAAGGAACCCAGCGCGAGGGAGCTGTGTAATGAAGAACGAATAAAGAAAAGACAAAAGGCACGATATCGTCCGGAGCGGATTTATTACACATGGTTGTTGAAACAAGAGTGTAGTATGTACAGTAGGCTTCTTAAAAGCAATGTGTTTGATTGCATTCGCGAGAAATGTAAAGGCATCACGTTCCAGTAACTTAACGTTGGATATTAATTTTTTGTCTATTTGTATGTTCATTCATGACAATTTCACATAGTAAACACATTTTAAACACTAAAAAAACATATCCTCAACAAGTAAAAAAAATGTTAGTAAGGAATGTGCAAAAATAAGATTTTTTAAATAATGATGAGTGATTATCCGACGTTTTTGAAAATCCGGCACCCCCTTCCCCCCCTAAGCCACGGGAAAATATAGCTTGAAACCCCATTTGTTTAGAAACTGCTTTTTATGTTTAGTTTGTTGTCCTTCCCCCGCACCGCCGATTAGCATGGTTGGTTTTGTATGGTGCGAAATAAGTTCAATCATACATACTCGATTATCGACTACTAGTGGTAAGTACCCGGTGTTGCAGACACACACGGATTTACACACAGACATCGACCCACACACATAGAAGCACATCGAATTAGATGCACACACACATGGTTAAACCTAGGATGGATCGTTAGCAGGCCAGCCTAAATGTTTCTAACCGGCGAAGATATTCCATTAGGGGGGTGCACGTTTCGCAAGCATGGAGAAGAGAGGGAATTACCGTGGCCGAGAAGACCTGGAGCTTCACGCGGAAGGAGAGACCAGGTAGCTTCCACACAGCGTAACGCAGCCGATGAAAAGATAATGTGGCTCGACTGATTCGGAGTGAGACCTCTGCTGTTAAACCGGAGCCGGTCATGAGCACACTGGCCAGGTATGGGAATCTCTCCAATCTCTCCACAACTGCCGCATCACCAATTGTGAATTGTGGGGGTTTGATTGTCCGATGGTACAAAATACCCAGGCAGGTGCTTAGTGAGGCTGATGGTAAGTCCTCACCTCTTAGTGGCAAGCTCCAGGTTGAGCAGCAGCGTCTCCAACTCCTCCTCTGAGTGAGCAGCAATCACCAGAGCATCGGCATACATAACATGGTTGAGCAATAGGGGGCCATCCCTTGACCGCACCCGGGCATCGATCAGCCTCCCATTGTATCTGTACCATATGGTAATTCCTCCGGTACAGCCATTGAAGGCTTAACTAAGTACATGGTGAAAAGATATGTTAAATAATGTGGGAGGCAGAGGACATCCCTATCACACCCCAAGGTGTCAATGTGACTTGCATGAATTGTTTCCCTCATCCAAAGCTAAATGTGAGCATGAGGAAGACAACGTTTTTGGCACCCAATGGTGTGCAAGTTACTGCTTGTCGATCCAAAGACGCCGCCTTCGTTGGTCGTAAAAAGCATCATGAGGCCATGAACTTGGAGGTTTAAGACCCTCACTAAGATGTGATGTCTGTCTGGTGGCTTTTGGTTTGGATAAAGGTAAACCTGGATCTCCTTTCATTTGGGATTGCAAGTGAAGGTGATGAAGAAATTGGGCGTGGCATATTGGTTGATGTACGTCATGGCATCCTGAGTCTTCTCATGCATGTATCTTGGTGGAGCTGTGAAGGATGAAGGCAAAATAACTAATCAGCCCACATTGTGACCGTTTGCATCGCCTTCGGCAATGATGGCATCCCAGAGATGAGCATACTCTTCAGACGCAGGCGGTTTTGATTCAGTTGAATGTAAAGAAGGCGCTCACTGTCAATGTTGGCATACTCATCGACAACATACTGGTGAAAGAGGTTGGCGCATAATAATATGTGGTTTCCTCCTGTGTCCATGATCAGCAAGGAATAGAAGTTTTTTTTAGAGGAGACAGTTTTGAGAGGATGTCTTTGTCTTGCAGCTTTGTAATTGTAGAAATCTTGACGTGGTACCCATCTTGGCGTTGCGACAGGAAAATGTGTTATTGTAGGGCATCGTGTGCTCTATTAGTGTCAGGAAATCGTGCGAAGGTGTTTTGTTGGTATGGAAGAACAATGTCTCTCTGACAATGTTCCTGACCCACCATAAGAAAGCAAGATCAACAATATTTGGGGCATTGAACCTCCCTGCGTGCTCCCTGCTTTGGTGAAAAGTGAAGGAGCGGTACGGCAAAATTGAAATGGGTGATCTTCCCACCAATGTAACAAAACGATAGACGAAAGGC